GAGAGAGAGAGAGAGAGAGAGAGAGAGAGAGAGAGAGAGAGAGAGAGGGAGGGAGGGACAGACAGGCACATAATGTACAGGTATGCCTGTACATGTACATCTGTGCACACCAATGGAGACCAGAGGTCAATGTCCAGTTTATTCTTCAATCACTCGCCACATTGTTTTGTATGTGGCACACATACATTACTGTGTGTTCACCTGTGCATATGCATGGATGGAGAGGCCATAGGTTGATGTTGGGTATCTATCTCCCTTGATTGCTTTCCACCTCATTTTTTGAGACTGAATCTCTAACTAAACCTAGACCTCACCAACTGCCTAGACTGGCTAAGCCCCAGTGATCCACTCGTCTCTGCCTTCCCAGTGCTAGGATTACAGGTGTGCACCACTGCACCCAGCTTTTTACTTTTTATGTGGGTGTTAGGAATCCAAACTTTATTGACGGAGCTATCTTCCCAGCAAATATGAAAATTCCTTTGTGTGTGTTTATCTGTGTATATAGAGCATGTCTGCCACAGTGTACATGTGGAGAACAGAGGACAACTTTCAGGAGTTAGTTCTCTCCTTCTACTATATAGGTCCCAGGGACTAAACAGACTCAGGTTGTCAGGCTTGGTGCTGAGTCATCTCAGCAGCATAAAGATTCTTAATAGTGGGAAGCCAGTAGATAAAATATAAACAGAGTGCAATTATTGCATACTCAAATCATCAAACTTTACAAAGATGAGCTGAGAATAAGTTTTCTTATTGTGGCATCCATTGCGTCTGTCTGATAGACGGGAGAGTCCATGTATGCATCCTCAGATTGTCAGAAATTATACCTTCCTGATGACACGGAGTCTAGCTCAGTGGTAGTTTAGTATGGTGAAGTATTAGTTTAGTATGGTGAAGCTCTGGGTTACACACACAGACACAGACAGACACAGACAGACAGACAGACAGACAGACACACACACACACACTCACACACTCACACCCTATACAGCCTTGCTTATATAAAATAAAAACACAAAGTACTATGCTACATAATAACTGTAGTGGCAAAAAGGATACCACACTGGTTTTCTCAGTGTGAATGAATTAATATGGTGTTGACTATACCTTAATTACAGCAATTTTAATAACTACACAACTGGACTATAGAATATGACTATAATTAATATGGTTCTCTGTATCAAAGCAAATTATAAGTATAAAATTATAATTAACAACAAGCCCACAATACAATAAATATAATAGCAGTGACTCAGCAAAAGGAAAGGACGGATGTGAGCACTCCTAGAGCTGGGATTACATAAACTCTTCATGTGTTAGATAATCATGGGAATCATCTATTGGCTAGACCTAGATCACAGCCAGCAAATAGCAATGTTAAGCCAAAGAAACATTACCACCATTATTGTCCTCATCATCTGCCCACTGCCCAGAGGAAAGGGTCATCTCTTGAAGAGAAACTGAGCCTAATTATGCTTCCAATCTGGCACAAGTAGAGTAGATACCCAGGAAGTACCCCAGCATGGCCTTTTCCCAAACACTAAATGCTGCCTGCCACCATCCTGTCCCACTTACACATATAGTGACCTCACCTGAGCACCTGCATCTCATTCTTGAAGGCCTGGGCCTGCTCAGCGGTAGGTTGGGCCACCTTGAGCACCTTCACAGCTACATCGCCATGCCAACGCCCCCGAAACACAGTGCCAAAAGAGCCTGTCCCGATCCTCTTCAACAGCTGTACCTCACTGGGTGGCACTTCCCAGTAATAGCCTGAGTCCCGGTACCCCAGGTTCTTCTGTGGGCCAGATGGGTGGCATCAGAAGGGCCTACCCTCAACCCTCAGTCATAGCACTCAGGCTGTGGTGGCCCCCAAGGAATTCCTATGGCATACCACTTTTTTCTTTTCCTCTGCCAAGGACTTCCGCTCCCGCTGTTCTGAAGGTAACTTGGAATGTGGGGACTTCCTCCCTGAAGACACACTAGCTGGGCTAGGGCTACCCCGAGGGGCTCCATCACCACCACTTCTACCAGCAGCTGTGGTTGTACAGAACGCTGTGAGTGGAGGCAAGTGGAGTGGTGGGGCAGAGAGAGCTCAGGGTGCAGAAAGGGGTGGGGGTTCTCTCACCATCGGTGCTGAAGCTCTGAGCAGTAAACTGGAAGGAGGTGGGAGCAGAAGTCAAAGTGAGGATATGGCAGCGGTAATGGTTTAAGCAATGCTCCATGCTCCCCACTGTCACCTCCTTGACACCCACCTGCATGAGGCTGGAGTCCATGGGAGCTGTGGTGCTGACCATGTGGACGTTAGGAGTAGATGTGGAGCGGATGCGCTGCAGTGGGGGATTGGCAGGGGCAGGGAAGGAGAAGTGCTCCTGGTCACGGTGCTGGGTAAAGGAGCTAATAGAGAAAAGGCTGTGAAATCGCTGCAGAAGGAACTAGAAAGCAAAGAAAGCCCAACTCCACCACCCTGAATGTACGTTTAACTCATAAACAGTACATATCTGTTGGTCATACCAGTAATCATCTGCTCAAGAAACATTTACTGAGTGCCTCTTGTGTGCCAGATTCAACTCTAAACAGAGGAGATCAAACTGTGGATACCATAAATAAAAAGTTCTTGACCTTGTAGAGTTATTTTTAGCAAAGGTAGAAGAATTAAAAAAAAAAAACAAATATATAATGTGCCTGTTAGTGATAGGCACAAAAAGAGGAAAATAAAATAAAGTTAGGAGTTAGAAAGTGCCCCTGGGGGAGTCAGGAGTGGGTTCTCAGAAAGGGTAATATTGGGGGAAAGGTCTAAAGAAGGAACAATGAAGGACAAAGATAGTTGGAGAAAGGGTAAGATATGACTTTTTATTACATATCATAATGACATGTATTTTTCAAATATATTATTTATTTTATAATGAGCATTACCTATATTAAAATGGCAACGTTTTCAATACACATAGTATCATATTATGTAATACACATTACACACATCATATAACGATTATACATATATCACGTTACAAAACACTTTTTTTTACTGTTTTAAGACAGTCTCATGTAGCCCAGGCTGGCCTTGAACTTGCTACTTAGTGGAAGGTAGCCTTGAACTATTGATCGTCTTGCCTCCACCTCCCATGAATTATACCTTACAGAAAAACATTCTGTTACTTTCACCATCCTGAGATTAAATTCACAGGTAAATCAACATACATACACTCATAGTAACTACAAATAATAATACGTTAACCTTACTTTTTATATATTATGTAAAACTATATGCTATCATATCCAACATAAGTGAAATAAAAGTACTTTCTGATACAGTAACGTTTATTTCAAAGAGAAAACACTGGGGTGTGGTTATACTGGAAGAAATGAACAAACTAGACGATTTTATATATACACTTGTAATACGACTTGTATTTACTCTGTATCAGATCTTGCTTTAAGCACTGCAAATATCTCAACTCTTAATCCTCTTCAGAGCCCACTAGGGAAAAGTCACATCCCCTCTTTCCAGATGAAAAAAAATGAAACCTGGAGTGACTGGGTGCCTTACCAAGGATCCCACAGTCCCATGCCCTTATTTAACACTTGTAGGTACTCAATAGTATTTATCACGTAAACAAATAAATGAAAGTATAATCTCTCAGGGTCCTCCAATCCTTCTTTCACTGGCCCCCTGGCCTTTCACCTACGACATCCCTACCTGGGACCCTGGGGGGTTAGCAGCTCATTCACAGAGAGATTTGAGGGAGCCTCCTGCTGCCTGGAGCCTCCAGACAAATCCTGGATGCTGTGGTAGAACCTTGAGGACATAAAGGTGTAAAACAAGAAGGTGGTAAGTATAGGTTGGCTAACTGTAAGCCCTTGTACTTGGGCTTCTGTCCTCCCCATCCCTCAAGCCACCCCAGGCTGGGCTCACTGTCGGCGGTTGGTACTCATGTCAACGCAGACGGTGGGGACCTTGGAGGAACAATGCTGGTGGAACTTGTAGCCACAGGTCTGGCAGCGGAATCCATGGAACAGAAACTTAAGGCAGAAGTCACAGAAGGCCAGGCTGAAGAACGTCTTCCGTACCTGCAGCCACAAAGCAGGGAAGTGCAGGCCTGACTGAGGGCCCTCTCTGTCCACACTGTGGCTTCCCCCCACCAACCCCATTAGACTTACAAAATTGTGCATGGTCAGCGGCACATCTTCCAGGACCTCCACAATGAGCTCCTCACCATCCAGAGGCGCAATGGCTGTGTCCCAGGCAGTGACTGTCTTTCTTCTGCAAGAAGAATGGGAGAGAATATGAGAAATGGTGGACTGGGGCCATAGTAGACAGGGAAGTTCCAAAAGTTCCTCTTAGTCCCATCCACGAACTACTCTCTCACATGTTTAATTCTCACTAAGTTAGTTACTTTTGGGCTGAAGAGAAGACTACTTGCTTCTCTTTCAGAGGACCTGGGTTCACTTCCTAGCACTGACATGGTGGCTCACAACCATCCGTAACTCCAGTGGGATCTTGAACCTTCTTCTGGCCTCCATAGGCATGAGGAACACACGCATACATGTAGTCAAAACACTCATACACATAAAAAGGGTAACATTTTAAATAAAAAAAATAAACTTATCACTATTCTTACTCCCACTTTATAGACAAGGAAACAGGCTCAAGCAATTAGGTGAATTGCCCAAACATTAGGATCACAGGTAGACCCACTACTCCCAGATTTAATCCACCATCTTAACCATGTGGTGAGAGGCAAATGAAACTACACCTCAGGAGTAGTAAGCCAGCACCTGAGAAGAGGGCTGATGAGACACTGAAACAGGTAAGATGAAAACATGAACTCCATCCAAAAGGTTAAGGCACCAAGGAACACAAGAATAGAAAGGTCAATGAAGACCAATTCCACGGTGCATGGGGAACATGAGAAAAGAAAAAGCTGGTGACTTCAAGAAATTGTGAAAGAACAAAACGGATGAACTCTGGAAGGTGACAGACTGAGGACCTGAGGGCTGAGTGCACAGTGACTTGCAGACCTTCCAATGGTCAATGAAGGGAAACAAAAGATGCCACCTGGGTTACCTCAGATACTGGAAGACTCCAAGACAAAAAAGGAGGAATAAGATGAGACTGAAGAAGGGAGGTGTGGAGGGACCCAGTGGATGGCATGGGGTTTCCATACTTACCCTTTGATGAGTCTGTAGACCACGCAGCAGTCCTGATTGAGACCCCGCACCTTGAGGGCCTTGTCCAAAGAGTCATAGACACTCATGCCTTCCCGGACAGTCACCTGTGTGTGTGTGTATACAGAGGTTGGGATCTTCAGTACCCAATAGGTACCCTAGCCAATTATTCCTTCCCTCTGCAGTAGCCATTCCCTACCCCTTGTCACCCTTCTGATCCCAGACTTACAGCTAGGATCATATGGAACCCCTGCCGGTATTGCCTGAGTGACTCACCACCGTGCGTTGCTTGTTAGGCAGGTACACTTTGACAGTGCCAACTGCCCGAGATGGCTCAGCCCCACTAACAGGAGGGCCTCGTGGTGGTTCCATGTTGCCTAAGATTTTTTTCAAGATGGGCTGAGGTAGGACTGAGCAGCTGCCATAGGCCTCCTAGCAGAGGACAGAGGAAAAATTCAGAGGTCTAGTAATGACAGCCTGAAAGCAGAGTGGCAGAGGACATATAAAATTCCATCTCCAAGCTCCTGCTGCTCCCTGAATCCCACTTTTATCAAACAGCCCTGTGCCACTAACCCTTCTCTGCTGAGAATCTCCTATTGCGTACCTCACAATTGAGCACCAAGATCTAAGACTCACTGCAGTGCTCATGGTTCTGGACTGTGCAGAACACAGACTCTTCTAGAGACTAATGGGGGAAGTCAGTATGCACTGCACTGAGATCACAGGGCTCAGGTACACAATGGAAATGAACAGGCTGTCTTAGCTTGAGGAGAATGAGTGATCACACACTATAGTGAAAGGAGTCACAGACAGGGGAAAGGAAAATGGAGGACCATCAGACCTTGTCTTTAGTTTGGAGGAAATGAAGACTGTACCAATGACCTTAAAAGGCACTGTGGGCACTCCAGAGCACTGAGCTATAAGGCTGATGGTAGAATCAAAGGTACTGTCAGATAGCTAATACAGGTCACCAGACTCGATGATGGGTTCACAGAGGTTCACCAAACACTATACTACAGACAGACGTCATAGGAGTCACTACAGACTGTGAAAAACAGCTGGATAACAGAGCACATTACACATTAAATCAAATGCAGTGGCAATGATGGTTCATCAGAAAACTATCAAGAGGAAGAGAAAAGGAAGACAATGATATCCAGGTGAGGAAAATGGAGGTACGGTTGAGGGAAGGGTTTCCAAAAACTATACCTGATAACTACTGAGGGGTCACAAACAGATTACTGGTGTAAACGCACTGTGAAATCATGGAAAGAGATTAGGGTGAACTTGGGATAATGGGGTGATCCTCAGACATTTTTTTCTAGATGGCGTAGAATATTAAGGGCAACAAGGAACCATGGGAGAGAGCTGCATCTCCTGATCGTCGTGAGGAAACGTCATCAGACATTTTAAGGGGTTTAAGAATTCACCTTAGAATTTCGCACCCAAGCCCCAGACCCCAGACCCAATTTGGCTCGGTCCCGCCCTCCCCAAGGGCTTCAAGCTCTGTGCAGTCGCACTGCGATCGCAGCAAGCGAAACCACCACTGCAGCTTGCAGGCCGACTCCTCCATCCACTCCCACGGTCGATGACGACGGTCTCTCCCGGGTCAAACCACTCCTTTGGTTCCGGGAGGGAGAACGCTGAGATTCAGACGGAAGCATCTTGGAGCTGAGCTTTCGGTCCGGACTTCATACCCGGGTCCCGCAGCCGCTCCAAAACCCGAACCCTACCGGACCTGCCCTCACCTGTCACACTGCTACCACCACCACCGCCTCCATCTTGGGCTTGTCTTCTTGTTTCCTCTCAGTCCGCTGCCACGGTCCCTTGGCTTATTGCTATTGGCTCTCCGGGACTCGTCTCTCCATTCTTATTGGAGGAAGATCATGCCCATCAAGACAGGGCCAGCGGAATGTGGGTCGTGTTCCGGATTGGGGGTGGGGGGCTCAAATGACTGTCTCTAGGGCAAATTCGCCTGTCCTGATTGGCGCGCAGGCGCAGTCAAGGCGACAACTGCGTGTTAAGGACTTTAACCCTAACAGTGCTACAGAATAAAGAAGCTTGTCCTTTTTTGGTGTGAGTGTTGGAGGCACTACTCGATTTCAGTTTTGTATTTTCTGGTCATTTGAAACTGATCTTACAGGCTTAAGGAATATGAGCAAGAGAAACCCTTAAATGCAATGTGACCAGTACTGTAAAGCACATTTTAAAGGACTCTTCATATATCTTAGTTTGATGGTCTTTAAAACAGGGTGGACTCAGACTAAATGATGTTCAGTATTTACCAGCTCTAGGATATTGTAGTCATAACTTTTGCTAATTAGCAGATCCATGCTGGAGATCTGGCTGTAGGGAGGGAGGCTTCCCCAGGAAAGGGGTTGAGGAATTTGAAAGACAGACCACAGCTGGCTAGTTGAAGAAGGGAGTGTTGTTCTGGAATGCAATACTGTGGCAGCCATTTGTGGACATATTTTAGGATGAATATAATTCTTAAATTGAACTTACCCAGGCATCAGAATAAGAAAAAGCAAAGGCACACACAAACACACACACACACCACAAACACACACACACACACAAACACACACACGTATGTACCTATATACATTCTTTTTCTTGGAGTATTTCTTTCAGAAAATTTGTATTTTCTCTGTCCATTTGAGATCTATGTAAATCTTCCTTAAAAGCTTAGTATGGTTCTAGGGTTGTAACTAAACAAGAGAGTGAACCACAAAGCCCTGAGTTAAATTCCCAGCACACACCCCTCGCCCCTTCCAAAGACTATGGCAGTCTCTTGCTAGTTTTACAACCACAGAAAATTTTCCTCACAGGCCTTGAAACTATCTCTTTCAAATGTAACAGCACCCATATCTCCCTGTCTGATGCAAACTTCCTCTACGTGCCCAGCTTCAAGTTGTTACTTCTTTCTCATAAGATATGAGTCTTGGTTTTCCTTTGGATAAAGTTAAGTAACAGATGGCCACTCTGACTATTAGATGAATTTAAGAGAAACTCCATGTCCCAAATGGTGCTGTCACGTTTTCTTACTTCAAAACAAGCTAGTGGTTATTTTGAGAACCTGTATGTAAAATGGGCTGAGTCTGTTGGTTCTATAAAAAGACAAGATTTCTTTCTTTAAATTCTCTGCAAAAACAGGACAAGAAATAATTTGAAAATCAATCAATTGTGAAGTCCAACAACATTATTTCTAAGTGTTTACTGTAGAGAAATGAAAACATATACCCACATGGTATGCTGGTAAATGTTAACAACCAGCTTTTCGGGAAGAAAACAGCTGTAATTTGTAACATTTGTCAGCTGTGGTATAAAGATTCCTACAGTGGCTATTTCAAACTACCAATATGACATCACTGAACCAGAGTTAAGAGAGGCCCCAAATCGACTGTGGTGAGCCAACCACAACATGTTACATATCCACACTAAAACATGTATGTATTTATTCAGATTAGCTTTATTCATATTAGCAAAAGTAAAAACTAAAAACAGCCTTGGTATCCAACAAAAGAATTGACCACGAACTATGACAATGATCATATAATAGAATGTCACTCAGCAATCACAACTATAGAAGAGCATAGATGAATTTCCTAGACCTAAGTTTAAAAGAAAAAAAAACAGGCACAAAAGAGTAATACTATAGTTTTCAATGGAATTCTAAGCCAGGAAAAACCAGTTGAAAGAAATCAAACTAGTTGTCATTTGGGGAAGAGTAGAGAGGATATTACTATGGTGTGGATGTGGTCTGTCCTTGTCAAAATTCATGGTGGAATGTTGGTTGCCAATGCATGGATACTGATAGGTGGGACCATTCAGCGGTATTGACATCTTTCGTACAAGACTGGATTAGTTCTTGCAGCAGTGGGTTAGTCCTTGCTCTTCAAAATGAATTATTGGGTGCTAGGGACACGGCTCAAGTTGGTAAAATATGTGCTTCATAAGCATGAGTGAAGTAGTCAGGTACTTCCCACATAAAAATAAACCAAGTGTGGTGATCTGTGTTTGTAATCCCAGTGAGAGGAGGAAACAGCAAGATCCCTGAGACTGGCTGCCAGGAAGTCTAGCTGAATCAATGAGCTCCAGGCCAATGAAGAGGCTCTGTCTCAACAAACAAGGTGAAGTCTAGCAAGATGGTTCCGTCATTAAAGGTGCTTAGGTTGCAGACCAGGTAACCTGAATTTGATCCCTGGAACCCACAAAACGGTAGAAGGAAAAACTGACTCTACAAAGGTATCTTTTAACCTCCACATATATACTATAGCACTTGTGTACCCCCATCATACATGCACAAAATAATAATACTAGTAATAATAATAGTAAACAAAGTTGACGGCTCCTGAAGGATACTGCAGGCTGACCCCTTGTTTTTATATACACGGACACATATGTATAGCTGGAAATTCATGAATTCACATGTATAAAAGATAATTGTGGATGCTGATATACATGGTTGTATGGACATATGCACATGTCCATGCAAGTTCATGTGTATGTATGTGTAGAAGCCAGAAGTTGGCCTAGGATGTCTCCTTCAATTCATCTCCACTATATTTTTTGCAGAGTGTCTCTTACTGAACCTGGAACTCACCCTTTTTTGCTCGACTGGTTTGGCCAGTGAACTCCAGGGATCTGCCTATTTCCACCTTCTCAGCACTGGGATCACAGACATACACTGCTGCTGTGATGGCTTTTAGCCTCAGGTCTTCATGACTGCATGGCAAGTATTTTACAGAGCCATTTCCCCAGGCCCCAGGATGAGTTGTATAGTGTTTGACCCACTTTGTCCTTGCCTAAATAAAAAAAGACTTTCTTTTAGGGAAACTAGCATGTGTTTGTGTGTGTGTGTGTGTGTGTGTGTGTGTGTGTGTGTGTGTGTGTGTGCAGGTGCCTACAAAGGTCAGAAGATGACATTGAATCTCCTGGAATTGGAACTGAAGGTGAGCTACCATATGTAGGCACTGAGAATCAAACTGGAAGAACAGCAAGTGCTCTTGACTACTGAACAATCTCTCCTGCCCTCACTGCTCTCTTCTCTGTGCTCCATCTTTCCTGTATGGGGCTCTTACCACAAGTCAAGCACGTTCAGGTACAATTCTCTTGGATTCCCTTGCCTTCAAAACCATAAGCTCAAATTAACCTCTTTTTGGACTCAGGAAGGCATAAAGACATTTTTAGAGACAATTGGAATGTTCTACGTGGATTTTTCAAAGCTTATTAGACCTTAGATACTGAAAACAGTTATGCATTCTACTCTATGTACAATATACACCAATGAAAATGAATATATGGCTAGAGTAATAGTGAGTTGTTTGTCATATTGCAAGGACCGAGGCTCAATCCCCAGCACCACCAAGTTGTTCATGGGGGAAAAAGGCTCCAGACATAACTCTAAACATTTTAGTTTCTTAGAACTTATTATGAATTGAATTTTTTTTTAATTTTCTTTTCTGAAATTAAATTTCTGGACCCTCAAATCCCCATCTCCCAGTGCAGGCCCATTGCATTGTAATGTCATGAGCAATTGCTGCTGAAACTCAGTGAGAGGGTCCAAAATGCTTTGGGAAACCAAGAAAAGGATATTTGTGTGTGTTGTTGGTTTTTTTTTTTAATTTGAATTCACTTAGATATTATTTAGTTTGTTTTAAAACATGTTTAAGATTTTATTTTTATTTCTAAGTATGCGCATGTGTGTGCCCACAGATGGCACAGGGGGGTAGATCCTCTAAAGTGCCGGCAATGGGACTTTGGTCCTTGTCTTAGTTAGAGTTTCCATTGCTGTAAAGAGACACGAAGACCAAGGCAACTTTTATAAAAGACAACATCTAATTGGGGCTGCCTTACAGGTTCTGAGGGTCAGTCCATTATCATCATGGTGGGAAGCATGGCAAAGTCCAGGCAGGCATGGGGCAGGAGGAGCTGAGAGTTCTACATCTTGTTCTGAAGGCAAACAGGAGAAGACTGGCACAGCCTACCCCTACAGTGGAACACTTCCTCCAACAAGGTCACACATACTCCAACAAGGACATATCTTCTAATAGTGTCACTCCCTGTGAGCCCAGTATTCAAACACATGAGTCTATGAGACCAAACCTCTACAAGAACCTTACTTACTTTTAACCTCTGAACCTCAATCCAGCCCCAGAACACAACACTACTATCTTCTTCTTCTTCTTCTTCTTCTTCTTCTTCTTCTTCTTCTTCTTCTTCTTCTTCTTCT